TGGTGCCCAGCTCCTACCACTGAGCAGAGGGTGTGGCAGCTACCAGGGCTGTCCAGGCTTCAGGAGGCGGCAAAACGAGGGGCCGGGAGATCTGTAGGACCAAAGGGTGCAGTAACAGGCTGGGCGGCGGGCCCAGGGAAATGGGGTGGGGTGGGCTGGGTAAGACCCGGTCCCTCCCCTGATGCCCTGAAGACCACCCCAGTCTACCTCGGTGCTGGCCAGGAAACCTATCGGCTACCTCTCCTGTCATCCCAGACTGTGGGCAGGGGGATGGGAGGGAGTGGGCCTGGGCCTGGGACCTCCTTCCAGAATTTTCTCCAGATGGGGTCAGCGCCCAGGGTGGGGGAATCCTCAGCCTGGGTGCACCCCTCCGCAGGGAAGGGATCCTTGGGGAGGGTCCCAGGAGCAGACCCTGCCCCCAGCCCCCACAGACACACCCCAATCTGAAAGCCATGCGTGTCCATGTATATAGGAACCATGTACAGAGCCCGGAGAAGCCCTTCCACATCCCCTCGGGAAAAAAAAAAAAAAAAAAAAACTAGACAGAAACTCATCTATATATTCTGTATCTGGAGTTCCGTTTTGAATATTAACTGTGTTATTTTTATACACTTTTTAAGCCTTAACTCGCCATTGATTTACCAGTTTAACGTTTCCTGGGGTTTCTTTTCCCATGGGGTTCTCTGCCCCCACCCTCGCCCCTTTGTTTGACTTGCGTCGTCTGATACTCAGTATTGTAGCTTTTTGTCCGCATGTTACTGCCCTGTAAATAAGCTGTCATACATACTGTTAACACCCCTTTGCTTTTTTCTATGGGACCTCCAGGCCACCATATTTAGAACTAGTTACCTTATTAAAAAAAAAAAAAAAGAAAAGAGTCTGTTGGCTTCTCAGTCTGCATCTTGGTGGCAGGGAGGTGAGGGCAGGTGTCTCTCAGACACTTCAGGAGAGAAGTCTGCATCCTATTTTAAAAAGGGGGTGGGGAGCAAGGTAAAAATCAAATGTGGGGGAAAAACACTAAAAGGGGCAAAAAAAAAAAAAAAAAAACTAGGGAATTACAACCCCTCTGCTCTTTGTATTTCTCTGTTGTGAAGAATAAACTGTACCTGCACCCAGGTGGCAGTGGTGTGTGACGTGCTGTGTGTGACAGCGGGAAGGGGCACCTTTCCACGACTCCTCTCCCCTCCCCTCCCCTAACTGGGGGCAAGGAGATGGTGGCTTACTGGGGGCTGGTCTCACCCTAGGGCAGAGCCCCTAGTGCTCTGTGCTGAACTGTTAAGTGTCAAGGACATACGTTTACCAGGTCTTTCTAGTTCTAAAGCCTTTGTACATGTTCTGGGTCCACCAAGGGGTCTCAGCTGTGCTGCTTTCTGAGGAGCACCGCACCCTCTGGGGGGTCCATCATGAGTGCCTGATTTGTGGAAGCTGTTCCCACGTTTGAAGGGAACAGGCTTTCTTCAAGAGGTCCCCTCCATGCACATTTCCCCTATAGGGGAGCCAGTGTTGTGACTGCGTAGGAGGAGAATGAAGGAACGAATCCCCCCAAGTTTATCGAGGCTGGCCCTGTGGAGTGTCCTGGAGTAACTCAGCCACAAGCCACTGTGGAGCTCATCGTTGGGACCTCATTATTCTGAGTCCTCATGGTCTTCATGGGTCAGGGCTTGTTGGCAAGTGACAGAAGGTCCAAACTCCTAGGACAGCTTCAGCATCCAAAGAATGTGTCGCTGGCTCTCCACTGGCTCTTCATCCTCAGGTTCCTGTGGGGTCAACTCCAGCCTACAGTCCTGCTTAGCCTTCCAGCAGCCATCCTGTCCCTTTGTCAGAAGACCCAGCAAGGGTCTCATGGGGTCTTCCTCCTTCTGGCCCAGGCATGGTATGTACCGGTTTGGCTAGGGCCCATAATCTATGGCTGGAGCAGAGAGTGAATCCTCCATCCAAAGTATGTCTTCCCAAGAGGAAACCAAGAGTGCGTTGCCACAGAAGGGGGAATGAATGGGGGGAGCCCAGAACCAGCATGTTTTCATTAATCTCAAGGCCTCTTTTCTCCCTCTGAAATTGACCTTCCACAGCCTGCAATGCCTGGAGGGAATGGGCTCTGGCAGCTATATGGTATCATATGACCCCATTCCAGCCTACAGCTGATTGGCCAGAGGTTGGCACCTGACTGAGTGACTCCATCCATGGTTATAGCTAACTGTGTGCTGGGGCTGTCCTGGCTCTGGAGAGCAGATCCTGTGTATCTCTTCCCAAGGGACTTCTCAGTAAATGCTGGTAGCTTATAATTGACCACGGTGGGATTTATACCATGGAAAATGGTAAATGCTAAAAATCAAGGTTTTCTTTTTCCTTGAAGAGCCAGTTGCTATTTATTGGCACACCACTAGATGAAACTGCTTTAGATCTCCAGTCCATGAATCAGGAACAAATTAGTTAGGAGAAAGTAGGCAACTGAACTGGAAGACCCTATAGCTGGGAGTTGGGGTATCTGTGTGGGTCCAGACACAAACAGAACAAAGAAGGTAGGAGAAAGCAGAAATGGACAGAGGAGACGGAGAGCTAGTGACAACCTCGGTTCCTTACAATGTCTTTCTCCTCTAGCCATGTTGCTTTCCTGTTTGTTTTGGAAACCCTGAACTTAGGTTCTAATGAGGGAAGTGACTTAACCTCTTCATATCTGATTTCCTCTTATGTAAATGGGATGAATAATGGTGAACAATTTATAGTGTGGATGTGAGGATGAAGTGAATCAATACATGTTTAATGCTTAAAGCTGTGCCTGGTACACGTAAGTACCCCCAAAATGTAAATATCATTATTGCTATTATTAGACTTAGCTCCATTGGATCTATGTTCCTTATGATCATTGAATCCTAAGAGACTTGAAGATGTTCTGGTATTTGCGGGGGTGATATCTCAGCTAGCATGAGAGGGTGGGGCACCTGGGACAGATGAAGATTCTGTATTTAGCAGTGACACTTGGGACTGAGAGTTGTATTTTCATCTGCTTGCCTGGGGAATATGTGAGCACCCCTGTCTGTGTGGGCCCCAGGATAGGTGCTGAGGAGGACAGAGGTGGGGGCCACAGAATTAGCTACAGAAGGAGTTTTTTTCTCCCTGTCAGACCTGTCTCCAACCCAAGTCCTTCTATAATCTCTGCTCCGTCCTTAGGCCTCTGGGATCCATAGGAGGGAGCCATTCTCAAGAAGCTGCCAACACTGCTCTACTCTGCCCTGCCTCAAGCCCCTCCCCTTCCTCTGGAAGGTTTTCATCAGCAGCACATGGCTGCCCAGAGCCTGGGATCAGGAAATTCCCAACTTACCATGTTTTCCCTTGTAAAACTCTGTTCTTGGGTGAATTTCTTGCACTCCATGAATTTGCTGGGAAAGGGCAGGCAGAGAGAGGAAAAGGACAATATCTGTCCTCTGAAATATCACCAAAACCCCTAAGAGGGCTATATGTGAGGAAACTGAGACTCGACCCAGGTAAGGAACTTGTCTACATCACACACACAGAAGAGGAACGGGTTCACATCCAGCTCTCACTGGCTTGTGGTCAGCTCTCCCACCGTCCAAGGGTGTTAAGGTTGGTGAAGTCTGCAGCAGAAGGTGGAGGATAAACTTTGCCCCACCAGGGGAAGGCACATGACAACTTAGTCAGCCAACAATGAATGACCTTTTCTTGGGCACACCTGGCTTGCCCTTTCTCTCACCCAGAGTCCACAGGGACTGAGTTTTGCTCATCTAGTTTCGGTAGAAGGAACTGGGAAATATTGAACTGCTTTTGAAAGGAGAGATTTCCTCTTTTATCATCAATACTTGAACTTGCCTGTAAAAATTTTCAGCGTCTAAAGATCTTCAGGGCCAGGTAAATAGCTGGAATTGCTGTCCTACCTGCAAATGGCGGAGGCTGCTAAAAATTCAAGGTCAGTGAGAATGCTCCATAGAAAATACTGGAGACCCACAGTGAAGTCCTACTCCCTCAGGACCTCAGTTTCTCCAACTGTCTGACAAAATCTCCAGGGCTTCCAGTGGCCACTTTCTTTGGAAGGTCTCATGACTTCCAGCCCCCACTCAGAGCCTGTGTTTGTTCCTGTAGTTTGAAGAGTCAAGTGCAGGTGTGGATGAGGAAAATTACCTCCCAGATTCTGGCCAAACAGCCTTACCAGCCCAAGGTCAGGAATGTAATTTTTTATTTTGGGTGGTGCTGGGGACTGAACTCAGGGCCTCACACATGCTAGGCAAGTGCTTTTACCTCTGAGTCATAGCCCACGAATGTCATTTTGTGTGTGTGTGTGTGTGTGTGTGTGTGTGTGTGTGTGATTTGATTATAGTAGAAAAGGCCCATGTGGACAAATTTGGAAAAAATTATCCTCAGCCCACGAATGTCATTTTGTGTGTGTGTGTGTGTGTGTGTGTGTGTGTGTGAGTGATTTGATTATGGTAGAAAAGGCCCATGTGGACAAATTTGGAAAAAATTATCTATTATAATAATACTCACATATGTACACGCCATGCTTATGGGCAGGACAGGTAAAAAGGGAGAGCCAATGACCAGGATGCCTCCTGTGTTTGTCCCTCTATGGCTCATTCTCAAAGTCAACTGGACTGAGAGTGGAGTGGGGTCAGACAAGAGTCCTGGCTCTCCCAACTGCTGATGCCACTGCACAGATCCTCAGCCTCTGGCGATTATGTTCCCTCTTTGTGTCTCAATCTCGTTTAAAAGCGAGTGGGGTGGGGGTGGGGAGATGAGGTAGGGATAGAACATCACTTGAGGAGGCATCAGGTGAATTCTGGACGGTCACAGAGGTGTTTCGGTTGTGTTTCAGCCCACATTGAAAGTGAGGGAAGGGCGCACAGGAACGGAGCTGGTTCTTTTCATTCAATCTTTCTCTGTCCTCCAAAGTATCATGTGGCTTCCAGAAAGAAGCCAACTGAAGGAAGGGTCTCTCCCTCCTGTAACTCCTAGTCCACGTCCTCCGGTGTCAGTGCCGGTGGCTGGCACTAGTCGCGCAGGATCGCGTACTCCTTGGGCGCAGAGAGCAGACGGGGCCGGCGAATCTCGGGGCGTGGGCCGATTTCCGGGCTCCAACAGAACTCGGGCGATAGCACCTTGGCGGGCTTGTGCAGCCAGAAGTATTTGTTGAGGTGGCTCTCGTCGTGCCAGAGTGCCTCGAGGCCGCGCTCGCGGTCCTGCTGCTGGGCGCGCGCGCAGTGAGCCGTCAACCTGCGCACCGCGGCCACGCTACCCCCGAACAAGGCGGCATGGTAGTAGAAGTCGCCCTCGTCCTGGGCCATTGCGGCGGCTGAGCGCGAGTCGCGCTCAAAGGGCAGCAGCCACCGTGGCCAGCGGTAGTGCCAGGCGTGCAACTGCGCTACTGACTCTGCCAGCGCCTCGGGCCCAAAGGTGCTGCTGAAGTGCTGGTCCACGTCCAGGCAGAACACGAAGTGCGCCTCGMGCCCTAGACGCCCGCCTAAGGCCTCGTACAGCGTGCGCATGCGTGCCATGGACACGTCCTGCCAGCGCCGTTCGCGCACCACGTACTGCACTCGCAGCTGACGGCCGGGGCCCAGCGCCACGCGAGGCACAGCAGCGGGCCTCTCGGTGAACACGTAGTACACCACGCGCTGGCCCACCATGAAGTGCTCCTCTGCGGACTCCAGAAAGCGTGCCAGGTACTTCTCCAGATACCTGCAAAAAAGTCAGCCTGGCTGGCTGCCCTTCCGCACTCGCCACCCCTGCCTGCATTCGTGCTTCCCAGTTTTACCCACACCGGCTCCGCAACTCCAGATCCCCCAAGCCTCTTTCAACCTTGGAGAGGCGGGTTAGAGATGGTGCAAGTTGCCTGCACCATCTTCTCTGAAGATACTTGCCTCTGACCCCCGGGTCCGTAGGGTACCAGGGAAGCTATGCTGTGCTGGCCCTTGGAGGACTGACAGTGATCGCCTCTTTAGTGCTCTAGGCCTTCCATCAAGAGATCCCAGAACTTGGTGCTGCCACGAATTGAGGAAACCCAGGCTAGTGACATAGAGAGCCTCCGGCTGGTCATCAGCCCTTGGTCTCCTAATGGAGACCAGACATTTGAGAGCAGTGAGAAGCCCTTCCGGCTGAGCCCTCTGAATTCCTGGCACACTAGATCATGCTATAGGAATAATACATTGTTTTAAGTCATTGAGTTTGTAGAGTGCTTCAAATACTAAGAATCCTAGCTCTTAGGATACTAGAGTTTTAAAATGAAAGTAATAATGCCTGATATTTTGAACATCTATCACTGTAGCAGACACTTTGAAGTCAATGTGCATTATCTCATTTAAAGAGCTCTAATAAATCCTAGCTACTTGGGAGGCTGAGGCAGAAGGATTGGAAATTTGAGGCCAGCTTCAGCAACTTGGTGAGACCCTTCTCAAAATAAAATAAAAAGGGATGGGGAATGTTGCCCAATGGCAGAGTGTCCCCTGGGTTCAATCTACTGTACTATAAACAAAGCTCTAACAACTTAGAAAAGTATACTTGATTGGTAAGTGGTGGTAAGTAGTATAGCCAGGATTTGAATCCAACTTGGCATTGAAGCTTGTATCTTTTCTTGCACTTGCTCTATTCTTGGGAAGGGGAATCTAGGTTCTTGGAAACTTCAACATTCCAGGGTGCTAGACTTACAGGGTCTTGGAAATCCAGACCTCAGGATCCTGGAATTTCTGTTCCTTGAGACTCCATACCTGGAGGCCTGTCCATTGCCTGGCCTATCAGTTCTTTGATTGACCTCGTCTCCTGTGATTCTGTCCTCTATCCACATCTACCTATGCACTCCTATGGCCACTACCTCAGGTTGGACATCATTAGCATCCCATCTTCAAAACCGCAGCCTCACCCACGCCACTGTGTGGGTTCCTCATTCTTCTGGCTCACTTGCTCTGATTTACGCCCCTCACAGTCCTGCCTCACTGAGCCCTCTGATCTGGTGGTCTTCCCACTTCTCGGTCTCTGTCACCTCTGTGTACCTTCTTACACGCTCAGATTCACTCCCTTGCAACCTCCCTAGCTCTCCAGCCCCTCTCCCACCATCTGGCTTTCCCGGCGAGACCCACCATACTGTGCGCTATGGCTGAGCTGCTGCCTCCAGCAGCCAGTTCTGTCTCTCTGCTTGCCCAGTTGCTCTTTCCCTCTTCTCCCCTCTYACCTGGAAGACTCCACCATTTCCTCATCAGTGACATGCCACTTCCTGGTGGACAGCCCTARCCCCTAAGCAGGTTCCTTCTGGCACATAGTTCTGAGCCCCTGGCTGGGTGGGCTCCATGATATAGGTGTCCAGGGAAGAGGGGAAGGGAGAGGATATTCCTGCATTCACCTTGGGAGTCTGGGACAAGGGTGCAGCCTCCAGCTGCACTTTGGGATCCAAGGCCCAGGGCCATGGGGCCACATCCTTCCCACTCCCTGCTGGACAGTGGCGCTCCCCTCCCCAGGCTTACCTGCCGACAGCAAAGACAGTCAGCCCAATGGTGAGGTTCTGCCGTCTGGCCTCTCGCTGGGCTATATCTGGGTCAAAGGTGCCATCCCAAATAATGGGGGCCCCCCAGGAAGTACAGGTCAGGACTTCAGGCCGGGCCCTGGCCAGGACAAGAATGGAGAGAGCTCTAGTCACCCACTCATGGATGCATGATTACTGCCACCTCCCCTAGGGACCTAAGATGCATCAGACCAGTCCCTGCCCCTAGGTCGGAACCACCCCTAGACAGTTAAAGGAGAAGTATGACCCAGTGGGGCCCCTAGGGTTGGGGGTGCAGTGCTTGGATCTGTTGGAATAGCACTTGAAAGGAGGACAGGGGCCTGGAACAGAGGTCTAGGTTTGTGGGCATTCTCAGAGTGGGGGGGAGGGGGGAGGATAACTCCTTACCAGGGACGCAGGACACCTGTGAAGTTGTCTTTCATCTGGAGCATTGTGGCTGAAGGGCAGACACCCATGGGGATGAAGACTTCCAGCTTCCTAGGGGGTGGGGGCGGCAGGAAGTGGCATGTCACTTGCTCAGGAGGGAGGGCTCACAAGGACACTTGCCCAGGCCAAGCTAGCCACCACCCTCCATCTCTCAACAAGGCACTTGGAAAGAGCCACTTTAAGTGTGACCCTGGTGATGGTCCCATCTCAGGTGCTGGGGAAGGGATTTGTACCTGAATATAGGGAGCCAGTTCAGAAGGAGCAACCCTAAGAGGCCAAGTGCAAGCAGGATCAGTCGCCAGAAGGTTCTCTTCCTGGGCCTGGAAGGCAGGGGGATCAGCAGCCCATTTACACACACACACACACACACACACACACACACACACACATATACACACGCATGCACATGCAAGGTAGAAATCATTTTTTGTGATTTTCAGTGCTTCATTTTATTTTATTTTGAGTAAGAATAACTGTTTAATGGTACAGACATTCAAAAGGATGAAAGATAACACTGAAAAGTTCCTTCCTGTTCCTCCGCATGGAAACAGCCAGAGGGACCAGTGTCATGTCTTTCCAGCAGTGGTCTGTGCATACACAGGGAAGGGTGAATGTGGTAGCAAGTACTCTCACTTCCTTTCTTTTAGTTCCCCAGAAACGGTAGCACAGTGGACATGCTGTCCTGCACCTTTTCTTCCTCACTGACCAGTATGTCTGATTATCATCTCAGCACTTAGAGAACTCCCTCACCCTTTTGTCCAGCTGCCTGATGTGCCACGGAGTGGACATAGCCCCAGCTGCCTAACCAGGGCTCGTCTGATCCTTTCCTCTGGACAATAGTGGTGCTGGTCATGACTTTGGGCAGGCACGGAGGACAGGAGCATCAAGGCTTTGGGGTCTTAGCCTGGGGAGGGATGAGGATGACCTTGGACAAGAGAATAGGCCAGAGGAAGCTACCGATTAACTTATAGGTTGGTGGCTGGGAGTGAAGAGCTGTCTGGGACCTAGAGATGAGGTCAGACTGGCTGTGGTCAGACCATGTGCCTGTGGCAGCCCCAAGCCAGGCTGGGGGAAGAGTTCCTTCCGCAGACCTTAGTGGCCTAATTGCTGGCTTAGGGGAGGTACATTTGGAATTTGTCTATGGTAAATCCAGGAAGGGTCTCAAATGTTGAGAATCTTCTGCAACCACATGGTAAGGAGCAGACACGGGGGCCAGACCCTCAGGTTTGAACCCCAGCTCCACTACCTCTAAACTCTCTGAGCTCAGGCAAGGCCTGACACCTGCCCATCATTCTTATCTGTGAGATGGGGTAGTAAGCCCGCAGAGGGCTGCCGTGGACTCTGAGATAACATGAGCTGAGTGATTAGAATGAGGGGCTTACACACCGTAATCGCTCCCTCCACTGTTGATGATGACTCTTCCTAACAGATCCTCATCATGCCCTGGGCAGCCTCTAGCTCTGCCCCCTGCCCTAGGAATCCTTCCAAACCCCAGCTCCCCTGCTCTCTTTCAAGAAGGCTGCCTGCCTCAGACCCTCCGCCCCTACCTTTTCTGCTATCCTACTTAAGGGATGCTTGAGAGACGAACCCAGGAGAGGCTCTGAAAACCTTGGAGTGTGTGTGTGTGTCCACCTGGACACCCTCTCAGCACACAGCACCTCCTTCTATTCATCTAGTCAACCTGAAACCTGCGACCCCCAACCACTCCCTCTGCTGCATCCACTGTCTGCTGTCAGCCCCTGGGTTGGGTTGACTTGTCCTTCTTGATCTCGCCCCTTCCTGTCCCTCCAGCCACTGCAACCTCCATCATGATCCTAGCCTGATCATCTGTCACCAAGACCATTGCAGGAGTTCCCTCACTGCTCCCTGTCACTCCCTGCACAGCCCCCAGAGCCATCTTATAAAACATTAGCCTCCTTTAATAGTGTCTGTGTCACACAAACAGGAAAATCCTCGAAGAGATGCCTCCAGTAGGCAAACATATGGAAAAATGTTCACCCCCCCACTAGTAATCAAAGACATACAAATCAGAGCAAGGTGGTCGGTTTTGCCTATAAAATGAACACTTTAAAGAACAGACATAATGAAAACAGCCCAGCTTCCAGCACACGGTGAGGCAGGCTCTCTTATGCTTGCTGGTGGCTGTGTGGATGGTTGGGCCTTGTGGAAAGTTTCCTGGCTGTGGGAATTGAACTCTTCGAATGCTCATTCCCTTTGATTCAGTAACCCCAGTCACTGGGAATCTGTTCAAAGGAGGTAGCCTTCAGGGTGGGGAACAAAGGGTGCACATGGAGACAGTCGTCAGATTCTGTCTAGATATGCTTTCTACACGTCCAGACTGGGCACAGGCACAACCTTAAGCACTCAGAGGTGTGGAGCCAACATACGGTGTGGGGTGGGGACTGAGAAGACAGGTGATGTGGCAGACTGAAAGCACGAAGGAACCAGTGCTCAGTGAATGTTGAGGAGAGCGTTCATGAGGTGTGGTGGACGAGCAGAAGGGTGGCCTCGAGCCCTGACAGAAAGTGAGGAAGTTGGGAGGCTTCCTGGAGGGGGTGACCTATCAGCTAGGACCTGAAAAATTAGAAATTATTCAAGCAAAGGAGGAAGTGAAGGGGAAAGGGCGATCATGAGCAGGAAACACAGTGAGGAGATGGAATAGAACTGGGTGGGGCTGCAGGGCCTTCTGCCAGGCCGCCAGGGCCCACACTGCAGGCTCAGGGCCTTGGGCTTCATCTTGAGGGCCATGGGGAGCCTGGGAAGGCATTTCCTCCAGGGAGTGCCACAGCCAGAGTTTTATTTGGAAAATAAAAAATGTGTACCTAGTCTGAACCGTGGAGCCCGGACAGGGTGTGCTGGGAGAGAGGGAGGGGCTGGAGGGAGGCAAGAAAATGAGGTGGAGGTGAGGACATCTGTGCCCGCTGTGGGAGCTCTGGGGAGCGCAGCAGGTGTGGGGGGCTGGGCGGGAGAAAGTAGGTGATGAAGGGCTGTCAGGCAGGGGGAATGAACAGCACTCGGCCACCAGTTGGAGGGACAGGGCTGTCTGCTTTTCTGGTTGTGGTAGAAGCCCGGAAGGCAGGCAGGCTCGGGAGAGAGTTCTGGGGGCTCTCTAGGAGGGCAAGGGTGCCATGGGAGAGAGCATGGAGGGAGAAGAGGTCGGGCCCAGGCTTGGAGGGGGACTGAGTGGGGAGTGGAAGGTGCTGTGTGGGTGACTTTTCAGAAGCTGAGCTGTAAGCAGGAAGGACACAGGATGGAAACTGGAAGGGGCCAGGGCTGGGGTCAAGGGAGATGAGTGTTTATTTGACAAGAGGGAGACCATCTTGCTGACTGCCGCCTAGAAAACATCCACAGAGAGGCGTCTGAAGTCACAGGGACACTCACCATCTGAGCTGCTCAGGTACCACTCAGGCGAACCTGAGAAAGGCCCCAGCATCTGGCCAGAGTGACTGGCTAAACACATTGTCATGGAGACCCTGCAGTCACACAGGAAAATGCGTACCCTGGAGCATGAAAGGAAAAAAAGCAGGATCTGAAAGTGATGGCAATTTTGCAAGAATGAAAAAGAGTCTGAGTAAAGGAGAAAACTGTTTTTATATTGCCTTTTTTTTTGGTACTGGGGATTAAACCCAGGGGCACTTAACCACTGAGCCACATCCCCAGCCCTTTCTATATTTTATTTAGAGACAGAGTCTTGCTAAGTTGCCTAGGGCCTTGGTAAGTTGCTGAGGTTGTTTTAAACTTATGATCCTCCTGCCTCAGTCTCCTGAGCTGCTGGGATTACAGGCCTGCACCACTATGCCCAACTATATTGCTTTTATAAAGAAGAAAAATACAGGGTTAGCAATTTACAAGGAAAAAAGTTATTGTATTGCCTCCTTCTGACTTCAGGACAAAGTCTACGTCTCTCAGTGCTGACTAAGGAGCCTTCAAAACCTGAACCCTCCATCATTGCATTTCATTGTTCCCCTTCCTCTCTTCCTGCCTCTAGGCATGGACACTCCAYAGTGGACAGTCCAGGGATGTTCTTGGGGCATTATTTGTAAAAGCAAATGGATATCAATAGCCTTAGTGTTCACCAGTAGGAAACTGGATGAAAGAATCATGCATATCTATTTAATGGAAGTTAACATGGCCCCTAAAAAGAATGAGGTCGACAATAAGAGACCCTTATGTGTTAAGTGGAAAAGGAGTAACAGGACTCCCTGAGGAGGCAGATCTCACTTCTGTGAGGAGAGGCTCCTAGGCCGTATGTCCATGAACTCACACATATATATCCACGTTCTATTAAATGTGTAGCGAGAGTCTAGACAGAACAGCATGGGCCAGCGATATAAAATGTGAGCCACATAGATGATTTAAAATTTCAAGGTAGCCACATTAAAAAGTGAAAAGAAACAGGTGAAATTAATTTAAATAGTATTTTTATTGAACAGAACATAACCCAAACATCTTTTCAACATGTACTTGATATAAAAATTATTGAGCTATTTTCCAGACTTGTTTTGTGCTGTGTCTAAACACTCAACCCAGCGTGAATGTTAGGCTTACAGCACACTGTGGGGGCCCGTCGGCCCATGTGGCTTGTGGCAGTTCTGTGTTGGACGGTGTGGATTTAGAGGAGAGGCACCAGCTGTTGGTGGTGGACTCAGTGGAGGGTGGAAGGGGCGCCACACCCCCACCTCCTCCCTGACGGTGTGCAGTGAGCATCGCTCCTTCTGCCATGTACCAGCTAGTTGCCTCCATCAGGCTCTGCATGCCTGGAGCCCCTGGTGAGGCTGATCTGGGCATCGTGAGTGCAGTGACCTGTGGGCACTGGTGCTGTCTGAGCTCTCTATTTGAGGGTCTCACAGCATCTCAAATACATATGGCCAAAAAGGAACCCTCGATTTTCCTTAGAAACCTGCACCCACTCCATCTTCTCCATCCTGGCAAGTGACGCCGTGATCATTCCTCTGCCCTATTGCACACATGCCTTGGAGTCTCTCCCGAGGCCTCTTTTTTTCCCGTTCTCCACATCTAATTCTCCAGCAAGCCCGTGCCCCCCCCCCCCCCCCCCCCCGCAAAACACACTCAGTCTGTCACTGGCCTTCCCCCGCTTCTCACTGCACTCCAGGCCATTGTGCCCCACACCTGGACAACTCCCCCTGGCCACCTCACCAACCTCCCTATTTCTACAACTGCCCCCTACAATCCATTCTCCAGAATGATCTTTCAAAATGTTAGTGAGATCCCACCCCTCCCCTTGCCAAGGTCTTCTGATGATATCTCACTGCTCTTAGAAAAAAATCCACACCAGGACCGCCTCTCTCCCCCAGCTCTGTGTGGCTCTCCCCCATTCCTGCGCTTGCCGCCCAGCCACACAACACATCTTTGCTGGGTTCCCACTGCCTGTTCCTCGGGACTCAGTTACAACTCTTTGCACTCCCTCCTGCACCCGTCTCGATCCTTCACCTTCCAAGTGAAGATGACTTCGTGTCCAGACCCATCTTTGTTCAGACCGCTTTCCCATCCTCTGCCAGTCAGGTTGCTGGCTTCCTCAACACCTCCCATTCCCCTCCCCAGGAGGTTCCTCTGGCCCTTGCCAACCTGTGAGGGCACAGTCTTCCCTGTGGGGCTGAGTGCCCCTGATTCATCAGCCTTGGTACTCTGCCCCAAAGCCCAGAACCTGCCTCATACTTGGTGTTATTAAATAATGAATAGTTTGTTCAGTAAATGGCTGGGGTGCTTTCTCTTCATCCTTTCCCAAACTGACTATTACTCATTTGCTTTAAACTCCATTTTTCCCAGAATTAAGTCTGCACTCATTAAGAATCCCAGACACTGCTAAGACATGTACAGAATTAAGTCTGTACTCTACTGTCTTGTTGAAGTCTGACCACAGTCCCTTGCAGAGGGCACTAGGATTATTTCCACCTTGGGAGTGAGGAGATCAAAGCTCAGAAAAAGTTAAATCACTTCCTCAGCATCTCAAGCTGGCAGGAATGAGTCTTGAGTTTGGGTCTGACTTCTGAGTAGGGCCTTTAATGGCATTTGGGCTCCTTGGGACTGGACCCCTGTGCAACCCGAGCACCTCTCACAAGGGTGCCTGGCTCCTCCCAAGTGACCTGTGGTCAGTGGCCAGTGTCTCTCCTGCAAGAAGCCTCCCCTTCCACACTTTGTCTTCGGCCCCCTCTGGACTCCTGGAAGACTGGCCACAGCTGTGCTTTTCCGGTTTCCGGAAGCCTGAGTCCATGGTTCTGGCAGCCGGCAACTTGCCCGGGCTGCAGGGGTAGGAAATGGCAGGAGCTGGCCACTCACTCTCTGCCTTATCGGCTTTCTTGGCCCTTTTAACCAGCCCCCAGCCCCGCCCAACCAGGGTGGGACAAGCCAAAGTTTATCTTGGGCACTGGTCTGTCAGGGTAGCCAGGCAGAGCTGGTCCTGAGTGGGCCAGGCAAGCTCACATGGTCAGCTCAGGGTGAGTGCTGGTGCCCAAGCCTGGGGTGGGGACCCACCAGCTCCACCCACTATTCCTGTGCCCCAGTCTGGAGCCCTTACCCTATAGGTACCCACTCCTCCACATTCCTTGGTCAAATAGCCTCAAAAGGACCTGTCTGGCCCTGTTCCACCAGCAGAAGGTGGTCCCTCAAGCCCCGCCCATGCCCTGCTCTCCCTCCTCCCTTTCAGGATCAGCCATTAGTCCTCCAGGAAGAACAAGTTCCTAGTCCTGGACAGTGAGGCCCACCGGGGGACTAAGAACCTCTCTGGCCTTTGCTCTCTACCTCACCAAGAGAAGAGGAGGCACCCAGCTCTTCTCCAGGTACACAGGCCTCATACCCCACAGTCCATGCATGGCTGTGTGAGCCACCTTTTCCCAGGGYTTGTGGCTCAGATGGTTCTCGCTAGCTAACATTGGTGCCTCTCCTTTGACTGTTCTGACCACCAGACTGCACCTCTCACAGGTTGGCTGTCCCACTGTCCCCACTCCCTGGCAGTTCCCCACTCACCTCAGGCCTTCCTTGAGAGCCATAGAAAGGAGCCAGTGGGGCAGCCGCCACGAACTTTCTCAGCTCAGAGCTGGGGAAGAAATGACCTCTTTCCCGTGGTAGGGACAAACCAGCTCCTTCCTGCCCCTAGCCTCAGGAGCCACACCCACAGAAGCAATCAGAGATGAGGCGTAATGAAGGAAGCTGGTTCCAGGGTAGGGTGGGGGGTGGTAACCCCCCCAGGGGCCAATCACCTGCTAGAGGGTGGATCTGAGTACGGCCAGCTCTGGTTGGCCAGGGACTTGGAGCTATTTGTACAGACTTCTTTTCCCTCCCCAGGGGTCCTAAGCCCTCTTCAGAGTCTTGTTCCTGGGACTGGCAGGGAACTGGGTGGGAAAGGGCTAAGGTGTTTCCATGGGGGAGAGCCCTGTTCCACAGAGCCCCAGCTAGAGCTGAGGGTACTGGGCACTGTGACCTTGAGCAATCCACTTCTCCTCAAAAAAGTGGAATACACATGCCCAACACTCAGGCCAGTGTGAGATAAGATCAGGGCTGTGGAACAAGTTCTGTGAAGCTCACACTACCTGTTTTCAAAAATGCAAGTTGTCCATCAGAGGTACAGGAAATTAGTGGATTGTGATCAAGATTTTAAAACGTTGAAATAAGATTGAAAAAACAGCATCAGAATGTACAGTATGCATCTGACAGGTAGGTGGTGTTGCATGAAATTTTGGTTCTATTTTAAGTGTGTAGGCACCATTGGGAAATATTTTTTAAAACTAAAGGTCAAGATGGAAAGTTAACCAATTTCTGTGTAAAGTATAAGCAACAGGAGCAAATGTATTTTTAAGGAAGCACCCTTTAAACTTGCAATAGATTCCCACTCTAAGAGTGGGACCAATAAAAATTAAACAAAGGAATGAATACACACATATCCCCCTTATTTACTCACTGAGAATGTTTTTAGAATAAAATATTAATCCTAAGCCTAAAAAACAAAACTCCAACAACCTTACAATAGTGAAGAAAACACAAATGTTTAGCTGTGAAAGACTATGCTCTTCAAGTAGTGGTTTTCATTCCCTCTCTTCATCACACACATACCAGCAAACTGGGGTGGGGCCTGGTTTTCATTTTTCCCAGGAAAAAAGTCAAGGTCCAGAAGCAGAGAGACCTGCACAGAGGGCTGCTGGCTGCAGTGCACCTGTGCACACGCCCTGTGTGCCTTAGCAGAGGGAAGAGGTGCAGGCGGCTTCCTGCTGAGGTCCCCATCCTGGTCCCAGGACTCTCCACTCAGGCAACTACCCAAGCCTCCCTAAAACCCTCTGGCTTCCCAGTGTTTCCTGCCTCTGGGACACCAAGCTTTCCAGGCCCTGGTCCTATTGGATACCAACCAGTTTGTTTCTCCTCCTCCTCAAGTGGATAGTTACATTTTAACAGGCTCTCCAGAGAGGAGTCACCAAGATAGGGAGGGTATTGGTTCTTAAAAGTTACTGTGACTAATCCGATTCAATACAGGTGGGGCTGAGCCTCAAACCCACATTCCTAACAGACACTTTAAGGAAAACCCCAATCCTGGGGAAGGAGCAGTGAGGCAGTAGTCTCCTTACTGCCCCATTCATATCTGAGGACAGACTCCTTTCTAGACGGCCAACCCCAGCCACTGCTGGCCACTTACACCTCACCCAACGTAGCCAGCATGGACCAACTCATTTGCATGTCCAGTCATATTATTTGTGCCCTCCCACACTGCCTGGTCTGGAATGTCCTTCCTCCTACTTTAGGCAAGGCTTAAGTGTCACCTCCTCTGTATAATCATAAAATAGGCTTGTAAAGTGCTGAGTGAACCAGAGGCGTCCAAGGGCTCTTCTGGACACAGGGCAGCTCTCTCCAAGGCCATCTGCTGGGGGATGAAGTCTGGGTTCTGGCCCAGGCGTTCCACATGCTGCTGGCTCACCAAATCTCCCAGGGGGACTCAGAGCTGAAGGGGCTTCTGGACCCTCCAGCTCTAAGGGACACCATGTGAACTGGGGCTAGGAGCAACCTCAGATGATCTGGAGTCCCAGCCAAGCATGAAGGATATACTGTTCAGTTGAGGTGGATGTCTCTCCCTCAACCAGGGTCCATTCCTTTTCCTTATGGGTGAAAAGTAGCCATTTGGCTTCAGACTGATATCCCCAGGGGAGAAAGGCACAGAAGAGGCAGATTTTGCAAATTTATTTTTAAAAAAACAAAAAGGTTAAAAAAAGTCCTTCATTTCCAACCTTGCCTGGGGGTGTGGGTGGGGAATAGAACAAGCAGAGAAAGGTGCCCACCCCTTCCTGTGAAGAGTCCAACTCTTCCCCCAGGAGCCTGCAAGGACAGGGCAAGTCAGAGGCAGGTCCTCACCCTTCCTGCCCTGCCTCCTCCTCAGGTAGCTGTAACTGCTGCTAGGAAGTTTTATAAGCTAAAAAGTGTGGGAGTGGGAGGTCAAAGGCTGCCTTCTTCACACCAACAGTGACTGGCTGCTCTCTCCCTGCTTAATTCTCTGGGCCCCCACCACTTGGGCTCCCAGGGCGGGCGGGCAGGCAGGCAGACCGACCGACCCAGAGGCTCAGCTGATGTGCCCAGCCCACCGGCAGTTTCCTTAATGCTGTTTGTGAGGCAGCAGGGCAGTCAGGGGACAGTCACAGTGTGGGGAGGGGCTTAGAGACCTCTTGACTCCTCTGGAGGGGGACTTGCCTCTCCCTAGAGGCTGCCCTTCTTTTCTATTCCCCATCCTCAGGCGGAGTGGAGTCCAGGACAAAGCACTAAGTGGCCATTTGCTACAAAACACCTGGAGATGCCAGAGGGCAGCTGTGGACTGTCTGTCAGTCCAGGCTCCCACAGTCACACAGTCACACACACAGCATTAAGGCGTCTATGCCAGCAGGCACGGCCAACCTGGGCCCAGCTTCTCTCTCCACCTGCACCTGGTGTAGGGAAGCCCCTGGCTGCTGCCGAAACAGGCTGAAGGGGAGAAGCTGGCAACGGAAGGTTCAACAGGCCTGGAGAAGGAAGTGGAGGAAGGAAGGCAAGGGTGCTCCAGGCCTCGCTCAGGCCTGCTGGCTGCCCTTGGAAGGAACCCAACTTAGGTTGGGAAGCCCTGACCATAAACCCCCTGGAAAACGGGGGACAGAGAGAGGGGAAGAGAGCGGGGCTAGAGTACTGGGACTTTGGAAGAAGCCAGTGCTATCAATATATACAAGCATAAAGCCCCATCTTCTGTGCCACCTCCCTCTCTGCCCCTCCCACAGAAATGAAAGGCCCCTGAGAGCCATTGAGGAGGGCCCAGACCTCCTCACCAGCCATGCCCCTAGGGAGGCCCCTTTCCTCCAACTAGCCCCGTTTCTGGGGCCCTCAAGGAATGTCTGTCTGGCTCTGCTCAGTTGGGAGGAGGACCCCTGGGCCAGGATCCTGGCTGCCCAGCCAGCCCTAGGAGTCCTTGAGCATGCTGATGCGGGCGTAGATTTTGAGGGCGGGGCCCAGCTTGATGTTCATGGCGCTCATCAGATGGTCCTCCTTGAGCAGCAGCAGAGCTTGCCCATCGATTTCCTGGGCTCGGAATTCCTCTGCTATCTCCTGGCAGCCTGAGGGGACACCACCAAAAACAACATCAGTTAAGCGGCCAGTTTCCACGCATGGTAGCCACTGCACTTTAGAGACCTTCTCTCCTTCAATCCTCACAGCCATACCTTGAAGATGGTGTTGCTATCTTGAGGCTTGAGAGAGAGGCTAAGTGACTGACCCCAGGTAGCCATGATCCAAACATCCCCACTCATGACCTTGCTCATACCTCCCTCTTGAGAAACCAACCTAGATAACCAACAAGATGGTGCACACTGATAGGGTATGATTTCCAGGGCTAGGTCACAAAGGGCACAGCAACTTTCACCTTGTTCTTTCAGATAGCTAACCTCCCTGTAAGGAGATCCTTCAAGCAGCCCTCTGGAGAGGCCCATGTGAGAGTGACTGAGGCCACCTGCCAAGAGCCAGCCTCACTTGCCATGTGAGGCAGCCACGGTGGAAGTGGATTCTCCGGCTCAGACCTTCAGTGACTGCAGTCCTGGTTGACATCTTCACTAAGATCCTGCATAAGCTCCTGAGCCAGGGGCTTGATAGAGCCATTGCAAATTCCTGACCTTCAGATAGTGATTTTTGTATCACAGCAATAAGCAACTAATATAGATTATGGTATCTGAAATAGGGGTGTGGCCATTAAAAAACTCTAAACATGTAGATGGGGCCCTGGAACAGGCATGGGCAGCAACTGTAATAACTCTGAGGAGGGTCAGTTAATATAGAAGGTGCGCTGGGCTGGTAAGCAAAGGTCCAGTGGCCTCTGAGGCAGCTGCTGAGGAGGTTTAAAAAAAGTGAGGAAACTGCTATGAGAGATTGGAAGAAATGGGAATTTCAATTTCATATTGTTTTTGAAATAGCAAAAACTTTCTTAATGCTGTTTGGTGGTATGATAACATGCTGAGTTTAAAGATCCCAACGAACAGTGTGAATAGTTAAGGAGATTTCGGGAAGAATGCCAAAGGCGTTGCCTGGCTTCTTTTTGTTGCTCATAGTAAAAAAGGGAGGAGGAAAGGTTAGGTAAAGAAAAAGGTGTTCAATGCCAAGGAGCTGGGGAAGACTTCCGGGCCTCTCCAGATGGCAAACGATGCTGGAATTATAAAATGGTTCTAGCCCAAGTCAAACCCAGGGCACAACCAAGAAATGATTTTCTACCCATGAAATGGAGGGTATGGCAAATCCTTTGTTCAGATTTCAGGAAGCTCTAAGGTGATGCCTTAGGGGCTCTCTAAGGAGTCTGGGCAGCCTCACAGAATGTTCAACACAGGACTCAGTTCACATTTCAACATGGTGAAAGGTTTATCTGGAAGACAATTTTGGGTGTGGTTTTTGTCTAATGGAATGTACTACTACAAATATTTTAAGAGAATTATATGGATAACCAAATGCTAAATGTTTTCTCTGATATAAGGAGGCTGATTCATAGTGGGGTAGGGAGCGGGAGCTTGGGAGGATTAGAGAAACTCTAGGTAGGGCAGAGGGGTTGGAGGGGATAGGAGGGGGCATGGGGTTACTAATGATGGTGGAATGTGATGATCATTATTATCTAAAGTACAGGTATGAAGACACGAATTGGTGTGAATATACTTTGTATACAACCAGAGATATGAAAAATTGTACTCTATATGTGTAATAAGAATTGTAATGCATTTCACTGTCATATATAAATAAAAAAAGGAATTATATGGGTAGAAATATTGGACTGGAAGGTCAGGTAATATAAAAAAAAGGCAGTAGGAAGTGGGCTTAAAAACCTGCCACATTAAACAGTCAGAATTCCCTTCACAAAAAAGGAAGGATGACTCAGAGGGTGGAACTAGAGGTGAGCAAGAATCACTCCCAGGCTGAGTCTTCACTGAGAAAATGCCAACCTGTGCTTTATTGTATTGGGAACTGGTGTGGATCAGTGGCTCTGGTACATTCTTTGTTTCCCCTTTTCGATTAGGCACAAATTATTCTGCACCTATTCCATTACATGCTGGGTGTGTGTGTGGGTGGGGGGGGACGACAGCCTGTGATTAGTCCTCACTGTCTGCAGACTGCAAAGAACCACACTTCAGGAGCTGGACCCATGGAACCTCATCCATGCTAAGACCCGAGTTAGAAAACAAGACTCTGGACTTCAACTAATGTTGTCTTGGGTTGAGACTCCTGGGGACTCTGGCAGGAGGGCAGGGTATTTTGTATACAAAGGAACTTGAACCATGTTGAGCAAGGGTTAACCCACCTCCAAATGGCTCCCAATAATCCTTACTTACTGTACTCATGTCCCTGTGAGTTCCTCAATCGATAGGGCTTATTGTTATGACCAATAAGATATACAGAAGTGACAGTACGTGACTTCTGAGACTAGATCATCAAGTGCACACTGGCTTCTGCCTTGCTCTCTTGGATTCACTACCTGTGGGGGAAAACTGTGGCCATGTATGTTATGAAAACAGCAAGCAGCCTCTGGAGAGGCCTGTAAGGAGAACAGGCCTCTTGCCAATAGCCAGCCTCCACTTGTGCATTTGCATGACTGAGGTACCTTGGGAAAGGATCCTCTGGCCCCAGCAAAGCCTCCAGATCTTGGCCTTAGCTGACCCCTGCAAACTCATAAGACATCCTGAAACATGCAATCCTCCAGAAGTCTTTCCCTAATGTAACTGTGCTATGACAGATTTGGGGAATGTAGCAATAGATGAAAATTCATTGAGTTAAGTGACAGAGCCAGGGTATGAACCAGTTCTGTGATTTGGAAGTCTGTGCTCCCAACTACTATGCCACTGAGTAGTGGATGAATAAAACTGGCTGAGCAGAGGGAGCAGCTCTGGGGTTCCACTGACCATCTGGGAATGACACAAGTCTGCCAGTCTGGGTTCCAGTCCTCATAGCTGTGCACACTTTGCCCCAAAGGCTATGTGGGATCCCAGCTCTGTCCTGCATTTCCATGTCTTCTTCCTCAGTGCAAGCTGCTCCAGGGGACAGTCTCTCCACCTGGCAAAGGCACACTTGCCCACTGTTGCTCAGTTTAAATTTTCTCAATTTTGACGTCCTCCTTGACAGATTTCCTACATTGTCATCTGTCTCCTCTCCCAGCCTGCCCCAGGAAAAGAGATGGAGTAAATTTCATTATCATCTCTGCATTTTATGCAGACCACCTACCACACCAGTAGGTATTTAAAATTAGAGCTGAGGAATATTATTTATAAGATGTGTTCTATGCTAAAAAATAAGCTTACATGCAGGCGCTCACGTCACTCATTTCTGCACCCCAGGTCCTAGACCCGAGCCATTAAATGAACTACCTAATCCTTCCTGATGGAGTGAGGTGAGGTCTCCCGCTCCCTTTCAATCCTTGCTATTCCAGGCAAGGGCCTTACCTGGCAGAGAGCGGATGAATTCGTAGACATCTTCTACATTCCATTTGGTGGGCTCACTTGGAAGGAAGTGGTGTCCCATGCCCACCAGGTCCCGCATGTGCATGTCTGGGAGCTCCAGGTCTCGCTGGCCTTGTCTCCGGCGGGAGGTGGATGAGCTGGCCGAGATGGGTGACAAGGGTTCCTCATAGCTGGAGTTATCTGAGCAGCGGCTGGAGTCTTCCTGGCTGTGTGTCAGCTGCAGTGCAGCAGTAACTGAAAGGGGTACAGTGCCTGTTGGCTGGGAGCAGAGAGAACAGCTTCTTCAGGACAKCGAACAACCATCTTGAGCAGCAATGATAGGCGAGGGCAGGTGTTTCTCCCTTTTCAGCCTGGTCCACTACTACCTCAGAGACCCTGGATCAAACAGCATTATCTGTGCTGTCCCTCCTCGTACTTTCACCTGGGCCACGCTACATTGCAATAGCCTGATCTTATGTCTACCTTTTCCTTCAGTTGTAGCTTTTAAAACTAGGGCTCTACTCATTTTAGGAGGCGGTCTATGCACCACCTGAAATCACTTATGACACTTCCTGTACATTTTTGGACCACAGCTTTCATCAAATTCTTAATGAAGTTTAAAATGAAAATAACAAGAAGCAAATACACAACAAATTAAAAAACAAATTAGGCTATGAATTCTTTTACGGTAAGTATATGTCTTAGGAGTCTCTGGGCCTAACAGAGTTCCTGGCACAGAGCTGGTGCTAAAAAATACTTAATAGATGAATTGCTCAGGGTCCTGGTGGGGACCTTCAAGAGCTCAGTGCTCCAGTGTTCAAGGGGCAGAAAGATACCAGGGATAGGGTGAAGGCCACCGTCTCAACTAGCCCTCCAAGAAAGACGGGCTGTAACCCAACAGCCTATCTCTGCCTATGATCAGGCAAGGGAGACCCTACCTCCACGGCCCACAAGTCAAGAACAGAGGTCAGCAGGAAGGCAAGGGTCAGGCCACTGGAGAGGGTAGGATGCCTCACGAGTATCCCTGAGTCTAAATGAAGGGACGCAGGGAAGGCCTGACCTGACTGGCCTGAGAGAAATGAGAAAGCACAGAGCAAGCTGAAGCCAGCACTGCAGGGACGGCGGGCGTAAGGGCCATGCCAGCAGGGAAACTGGCGGGCACCTTCGGAATGGAGACTTGGGCTCTGCCTGCCTCTCACCTGCTTCTTGGTATCCTTGGTAAGTGTTGGCAGACTGGCCTTGCTGGCCCGACGGCGGTTGTGGGTGGTGGACCCTGTCTTCTGCAGCTTGCTCCGGTCTGAGTGGAAAAGTCCCACTCGCTTGGTGCATCCCACATTATACCTGTCCAAGATGGAGGAACAGGGAAGTCAGGGAAGTCAGAGCAGTCGTAGGGCTCATGGGCACCAGACAGAACAAGGCAGCTGTCGGAAGCCACCCATGAAATGTGCATGGACCAGATCGCCATGGTAACCATTGAATAGGAAAATCAGGTATCTGGGAACTAACTCCCAGCAGCAGCACTTCTGCTGGTGAGACTGCCCAGGTACATGCGAGCTATTCAGCTCTGGAGATGGGGTGACCTGCTGCAGCCACATAGCCACACAACCTCCCAGAGATGGATGTGGCTTGTCAAGATGCCATGAAGCAAGACTCCACCCGCTGAAACCTTCTCTGCCTTTGATGTATCCCCTCTGTTCCAGCTCCTACCAGGACTAGAAGAATCTATCAGGCACTCCCTTAAAACTATTTTTCTGACTCTGTCTCTTATTTCTTCCCTAATTACTTCAGACTATTTTTCTCAGGTGGCTTATCTCCTTCTGAGCAGGGAAAATTACCCTGGCAATATGCTGGCTGCCTTGAGATAGGCAGCCAGGCTGTTTGGCAACCTGTGAGTCCTTTAGTTTGTTCAAATCCTGACTCCACCACTTGCTGCTGGGTGTATGGCACCGAGCAATCACTTAAGCTCTGAGCCTTACTGTGAGTTGGGATAACACCACTCACCTTCTAAAACTGGTCTCATGGATGACATGAAGTAATATTGGTGACATGTTTAATTAACATAACAACTTGGGACTTGGCTGACACAATTCTATTTAATCCTACTTGTGCCAGGAAGCTGCTATGCATTGTTCTCTTGGACAGTGGTGTGAAAAGTTTGACAAAGGGGCCCTGGCCACCGCCAGCATAGCCTAAGCAAGACGAGGGCTGAGGACAGTAGACTCTAGCTTAATTTGTAGGGCACCTTTGCCTGGGACCTACACATTTCTTCTTTCTGGGGGGCTCCAGGCTTCAAGATCAGCTGCCTCTTTCACCTTGGAACAAATATCACCTAAGACTTTAGAGTCAGACAAGTCTAAAGCTCCATGCCTATGACTTACTAGCTGTGTCACTGTAAGCACAACTGTTCCTTGGGCCTTACAAACAGGCCTATACAAAAAGGACAACAGTAAGTATAATGAGGACAACAGTAATAGCTACCTTGCAGAGTTATTTTGAAGATAAGACAGTGCATACTCTCGACTAGCACAGTATGTAGCACATGGCAGGTTCTCAATACATGACAACGGTTTTTGTTATGATCACCAGTCTTCTAAGCTGGGTGAAAACTTGCCACAGGAACTCTGTAACTAGTGTTATGGTTCCAGGCACAGCTTCAGGTGGAGAGCTTACACCAAGAAGGTAGTAGCTGCCAATGGCAGGCAAAGAAAGGGTGCCAGTGGGACCCCAAAGCCAGGAAAGCTAAAGCATTGCTTCCTCTCCTCAGACTCTGCTGTGCTCTGATCCACTCCTGGGGGTCTGGTTTCTCAGGCTTGGTGCATTAGGAATGCAACAGTGCATCCAGGCAGGTCAAGGAAATAGGATGCTGGATAAGCCACACACCTATGGCCTCCTGGGGTGGATAATGGGCGGCGGCATAAAAACAAGATTCCAAAGTGCAGTCCTGAGGATAGGGAAGGGATCTGGCATGGCAGTGGGGCTGAGGTCACTCACCTCTTTGCACAAGCCATGGAACAAAAACGCTTGGATCGCTTGAACTTGTAGGCAAAGTCCACCCGGCCACAGAGCTCACACTTGAGTTTGAGGGGAGTACCCTCCTCTTTGGATTCTGAAAAGTACAGAAATGGGTATAAGTATGGAGAAGGAGGAATCCCCACAGGCCAGTGGAAGCCACACTCCAGGGCCTCCCTACTCTATCCTGTCTCTTTTTTATGTTCCCATGGGTATCATATACAATGGCAGTCTAGCTTGGACAATGCCAGTGCTTTTGCCACTGGGAAGTTCTCAAGGTGTCTGGTGTCCTTTGTAAACTTAACATTTTTTTCTGCCAATTGCTACAAGTCTGGGGCACATCTTGGGTGGGGCAGCATCAGAAACCTTCTTCACGATCATGGAAGGAAGCAGGAGGTTCAGAGGAAATACTCTGGATACTGTCTCGACTGTTCCTCTGGAATTATCCCACTTGACCTTGTCCCATGGAGCTGGCTTCCTGGGTCAGAGAACCCCAGAGCCCACATTCCCATATTCTGTACAGCGTCCAGGTTGTTAGGGGTTCAGTCTTTTGCCTGGCCACTGCTGTGCCTCAGAGCCAGTGCCAGTCCTGAGTGCAGGCTCCTTAGTAAAAGACAGGAATACCTGACTGGTGCTGCATTCGCCCCAAGAATTTGCCAATGGAAAGCTCAGTTCCTGAAACCCTACAGTTGGCTGGAGTGGGGCTGGAGAAGCAGGGGACAAAAGGCACCTAATTTCTGCCATCCCTATTCTCCAGGGAATAAGAGTGAGGAAGGACTAGAGGAAATGTATTTATCAGTCCCTGTTCCAAGTTCTTCCATAGTCATTCAGAAAGAGACGAATGTGAGGCCTGCCATTGCTGCCAACCTGGAAAGCCTTCAGATCCAGGTCTGAGGCACCTACCTTGCAGGTAGGGCTCCTCCATCTCAGAGTCAGTGGTGGTGGTATGGTCCTGCTGTGGAAGCTTCTCAGGCAAGAACCCCTGTGCATACTTCTTCTTGAGATTCCCCACCAGCAGGGACGAGCGTCCCACCTACAGGACAGGTGACATGGAGGCCACGAGGGTTAGGTGGGAGCAGCTCCCTTGCCAGCCTCATCACAATCACATGTATAAAGTATCCAGGCAGATGTCAGTCCTCTGCAAACCTCCCCCACGCCATTATCCAAGGGTGCCTGCTCAAGGCCTGATTCTGCTGTCTAGCTCCCAAGGCAGGATGCAGTAGGCACCAAAGTATGAGGATGGTTTTGGTGTAGAACCAATAGATGGCTTGGGAGGTTAGGAGACTATTTTTCCATGTGTAAGGGCAGCGATGGAGGCAAAGATCAGGTTTCCCACAGTGCTATGCCAAGTGCCAGGTCCTGAGCTCACAAGCTGCCAGGCAGGGGCAGGGCTGAGTCTGTGTGAGTGCACTTATGAGACTCAGATTTCTTACCATTCTCCACCTCACCAATGCCCTATCCAAGCCAAAAGTACAGGAGGCCAGAGGGAGAGCAGAAAATCAGACCCTGGGCAACAGCACAAGTGCCCCTTTGGTTGCCAGTTTGTAGACTGGCTTATTCGCCCCTTTGGTCCTCCCTTTGTTGTCTGTCCAGGCAGCATGGTGACCAGATCAACTGGTGTCCAACTCTAGGATGATGCTGTCAACCTGTATCCACCCTGTGAGGACAGCTGGTTCCCAGAATTACTGCAGGGGCAGGGGAGGCCTGGTCCAGTAAGGGGAGGGTTGCAGCAATGTAGAGCCCCCTCATGGCTAGGGTGCTCCAGGTGGGTTTCTTTGCCAATGGCCTTGGACAATCAAACCTCCAGGGTAAAGGGGACAAGGACCTATTTGCCATTTGACATTTTAGGTTATTCACCCATCTAGGTTATCAAGTTCATAGTTTTCTGCTGACTAATCAAACCACCCATGAATCCAAAGAATGAGCAAAAAGCAGATGGCATCCCAGAAGACTGGGTCTCTAATAGCCAGATAATCCTTATCAGGAGACAGGCCAGTGTGCACCTGGCTCCAGGCTCTGCACACCTACAGAGCAGCACCACCTGCCTGAGTCACGCTGCACAGAATCAATTGTAGAGCTCTCCTCTAACAGACCATCTTCATGATTCTTGCTACTTCCCTTCAGTCTCATGCTTCTGTTGGAAACCCCAGATTGTGCCCTTTCTGAGGGCCCCTCAATCTCATGCACACCCATCAAGGCTCTGTCCCTACAGAACAAGCTTCAGGTGGCAACCCTGCCCCTCATCCTCATTTCCAAGAACTCAGTACTAATCAAGTTCTTTTGTTCACTAACTGGCCAAAGTTTTGCTGTTGAGGCATTCAAAACTTGATGAGGTCTAATTCCCCAAAGTCCACAGTCTCTCACCAAATGCCTTGAGGTGAACTAACTCCCTTCTAGCCAAAGGGTCTCAAATGACCAGACTGGGACACAGTTGGGTCTGTGTGTGGAAACTTCTGAGGGGTCTTGCCAATTATTCCTGATTACTGAGCCCTTCTGGACTCTGGACAGATACTCAATCCTAGAAAGAAATGGTTCTGACATGCTTTCAGAGGGATGAGGGGGAGGGATTAGCAAGACAGCAAATTGTTCACATTTTCAGAAACCATACACGGAAATGTAAAAATATTCTAATACACATCCAAAATATACTTAAAAAAAAAAAAAAAGAGGGGAAAAGAAGTAGTCCGTACCGGGAAAGGCTCCGCCCCCTCCTGGATCACAAACCCTTCGATAACATGCGTCAGGATTTGGGGTTTCACAATGGCCTGTGGTGGTTTATTCTCACCATTCTGGGGGGCAGTGCCGGCGATGCTGGAGGCAGAGTTTCCGTTCCCTGAGGTCATGCCGGGGCTGCTGAGGTCGGTCAGCGCATGAACAATGCCCTGCCCTGTCTCTGCACGGGGAGAGTGAGAAACAAAGCAGCAAAGATCAGAACAGTGATCAGGTCTGAAGAGGGACAGCAGGAACTCAAAGTGTGCCACCAAATGCCAACACCAACCCAAGCAGTCCCTTTCCTCAAGGACCTACTTGAAAAGTGGTACTGTTTCAATGGACACACCACCAAGTGTGTAATCAGTTCCTCAGCAACTCAGCTAGCAGCATTTCTCTACCACCACCAACTGCCCATTGAGCTGAGCTGCCTTTAACCTGGAACTTCCTTAAAAGGAAAAGGGAGAAGCCATTTCCTTATTGCAACCCACCTATAATATTAAGCACAACTCAGTGGTGTATGATATAGATTTTTTAAAATGATTTCAGTACCTTTATATCCACTCCAACATTCAGCTGTGCTAAGAACAGTTTAATCAGTCAAGAGTTGTGTCTTTAAGGAGGTAAAGCCTTGGGCAATACTGATTCTGACAAATAAAATAACATTCAATTTGAGGGAGAAAATTAAGTTGTATTCAAGATGAAACTTAAAACCAGGAAGAAAAGCTAAACTATGTATAAACTATATACATATAAGGTTTAGGGTGTATTGGAGTCTGATGATCAAAGGTTACATGAACCTTCTGTGAGGTTCCTTGGAGGTTTTTTTTTGTTTTTTTTTTTTTTTTTAACTAGAGATTGAACCCAGGGTAACTCTACCACTGAATTACACCCCCAGCCCTTTAATTTTTTTTTTTTTTTTTATTTTGAGACAAGGTCTCCCTAAATTGTTGAGGGCCTCACTAAGTTTCTCAGGCCTGCCTTGAACTTGCTATCCTGCTTCAGTTACCCAGGTCACTAGGATTACAGGTAGTCATTATCATCCCTGGCTAGAGGACTAGATTTTAAGAGCCCTGGGAATAGCAAAGCCCTGAGATCCATGTTTTCTCATAAAACTTTCAGGATCAAGCAATTTCTGGCCAAGAAACAAAAGCAAAATGGTCCCATTCCCCAATGGATTTGAGTGAAAACTGATAATAAAATCAGGTACAATTCTAAGAGGAGACATAGGAGGAGAACCAAGCTGGAGCTAAGGAATTACACATGAAAAGGTACACATATTTATGCTGTATCAAGGTTATGATCCTCTTGTCACATCAAGCTGAAAATGTCACCATTATCTGGACAGTTGAGAATTTTTAACTGAGAATGTGAGCTTTCTTTAGTTACAAAGGTGCTATAGTACTGGTTTTGGGTGGCTCATTAATAAATATGTGAAACTTTGGGGACTGAACCCCAGAAATTGATGCCAAGAGATTTCATGTCAAACCAACACCAGACACTACCACATGGATCTGAATTATCCAGACACTGGTTTTTGAAGGTTACTGCATTAAGAAATGCATAAATTTTCTTTCTCCACCACAGAAGATGCTACACAGGTCTAGGACCTTCTGTCTTGCTTCTGTGGTCCTGGGCTATCAAGCCCCCCACCCAGTAAACAGCTTTATATCCACTCCAACACTCAACAAATCCCTCCATCTCTCTGTGGATCACCTAGCTTTCCTATAGAAGATCTAAAAGTACTCCAAAAAAATGTGACAAGGTGCCTTATGAAACCCCAATGCAGCAGATCACCTTCCCTCTACTACCAACAGCATCACTCTTGAGTTGCCTCAACTGCTTACACAGTAAGGTTTCATGGCCTTATTATTATTATTATTATTATTATTATTATTATTATTTTTAAGCTCTCACCAGCTTCTCTACCCAGGGTCATTCTCTACCACCACCAACTGTCCATTGAGCTGAGCTGCCTTTAACCTGGAACTTCCTAAAAAGGAAATGGTAGAAGCCATTTCCTTATTGCAACCCACCTATTATATTAAGCACAACTCAGTGGTATATGATATAGATTTTAAAAAATTATTTCAGTACCTTTGTTAGGTAAGTAATTTTTGCACAAAACATTACATGAAGATGTTATTTCATATTAAGAACCCAAAATATCATGATGAAATGGAAATTATGCAGCATGGGGAAATTGAAATAGACACATTTAATAAAGTTGTTTTTTTTTTTTTTTTTTAGAAGTAAAGGTTTTTTACCTGGGTCACAATAGGCCTTTGCCTCCTTTGGGCTCATTTGCTTACGAGTAGTCCTAAGGCTCAATAAACCAGGATAAATCTTTTTAAGGAAAAAATCACTGTCTATGACACATGTCATTCCACAATTCATTTATATGATAAACTTCAGAATTCAGCCGAAGAAGTCATTCAGGAGAAGTGACTGATGAGGGTTTTTTAAAATTAATTTTTGTTTGATGCACAAGTTAGAAAAATTCCCTTAAGTGTCTATATTCATTTGGAAAAATAATTTAATAGCTTTGCCTTTCTGAAGAAAATTCCCTTTTTGGAATTAGTCTTTCTAATTTGTAAAGGTATCTGGGAACTGAAAAATATTCACTATCCATGAATAGCTAGATCTGAGTTAACGACAATCAATCATATTGTTTCTCTGTTTTTAAGTTTTAAATATTTAAGTCTATGTTTACACAATTACATTTTCCTCGGTTCTTTCTTTCTAATATTTTAAATACAAAGAAACAAATGCATATATTATTTAAAGTGATGGATACATGTTAAAACATAAAAACTAAAATTGTTGTTTTTAGATGATGGTGATTTCCTCCTAATTAGAGCCTAGTAAAACACTCCCTGAGGAATCTCATGAACCACAGATCATAAAACTGGACAAAGTAGGTGTCCATGTCTCACCAATGTTCTCCATAGTACCCCACCCAGGGATTTCCTAGCATTTGTTTGAATGCTTCCAGTGACAAAGAAATCTGCTACCTACGAACCTTGTTTGTACCGAGCATCATGCAACTTAAAAGTTCTTCCTTATAATGAGCACCAAATCTGTCCTATAAATTTTTGCCCAATTAATCCAGGTCCTGTTCCTTAAGACTGAAGAGACCAAGGCCAGTTGGATGTGTACACTGAGCATAAACATAGGCTTAGACCTGGCTTAGAGACTGGTCTCTATTACTGAACGAGTTATGATGGGTCATGGTCCCCCTCCAAGCCTGTTTCACGTATTATGGATCTGGAATGTCTCCCAAAGGCTCATGTGTTGAGGACTTGGTCTTCAATGCAGCAATGTACAGAGGTGAGTTTCAGAAAATGATCAGGTCATGAGGGCTATRACCTCACCAATGAATTAATTCATTGAGGAAGCCAGAGCTGAATGACTACTGGGAGGTGTTGGAAACTGTAGGAGGATTGGAGGGAAATGGATGGAGGGAGTGGGTCCTGGGGATGTACCCTTGGGTACCATATCTTATCCCTGGTCCCTTCCCCTCTTTCTGTCTCCTTCCCAGTTGCCACTAGTTGAGCTGCTTTCCTTCACCTCATTCTTCACCATGACATTCTGCCTCTCCTCAGGGACAAAACAAAGGAACCAGCCAACCATGGACTGAAACCTCTGAAACCAAAATATGAGTCAAAATAAATCTCTCCTCCAAGTTGTTTTTCTTAGGTATTGTCACAGTGGACTAACACACCAGGGTATAAAATAAGAATGCTGATATCTGCTTAACTGTGTTGCTGTGAACGGCAGTGCCACCTTACCACATGAAATGAAGGGTGCTGTTCCAGACTCCAGGGTAATCTCTCCTCCAGGCAACCCAGTTTGCTCTTTCAACTACTCCTTATGTAAAAATGGTTCAAGTTTAGCTGGGTGCAGTGGTACTCGCATGTAATCCCAGTGGCTTGGGAGGCTGAGGCAGAAGGATCACAAGTTTAAAACCAGCCTCAGGAATCTGGCGAGGTCCTAAGCAACCCTGCCCTCAAAATAAAAATAAAAAGGGCTGAGGACATGGCTTAGTGATTAAGCACCCCTGGATTCAATCTCTGATACAAAAAGAAAAAAAAAAGTGTGAGTTCATAGTCATCCTTGATCTTCTTTGTCTACACTTTTAAATATCAGGTGCCCAGTCAATACTGAACATAACATATCAAATGTAATCATCTGAGTGATCTCATTGATGAGATTTTTTTTTAAATTTAATAGTGCACATCCTGTTAAATAAAAGGTAGGGGTAAGCAAGTATACCCTTTGCTTTAGTTTAACCTCTGGGGTTAACAATGGAATTAATCCACTCTCTCTGAATTCTGGGGTCACTCCCACCTTTCACCTTTCATTAATAGTCATTACTAAACAGTTCCTGATATCTTATCCCCTTTTATGGGATTCCTCTGACCTTGCTCTATTGCAATCTCCCTGTTCTCAGGCCTGTGCGTATTGATTTGCCTGTAAGATGGTGGGGTGGGGTGGCTTGGTCTTGAGTTCAGATTCTTTCTTCAAGCCCAACACAGATACTACAGAACCAGTTCTTGCCTCTGGGAAGCAAAGACTTTGAACCTCTCTTTGAATCTCTCATTAAAAGAGAAGACTAACTAATAAATCATTTCACCCTAACTGGAAGCTCCCACTCTCCATTATAGCCCTGGGGAAGATTACAGGAGAGAGAGAATCCAAGGGACAGAAGGGAGGATGTTTTGTAAATAACAAAGGTCCACAGCTGTTTTGCTGTGCAGTCATCTTCTAGGCCAATAACTCCACATCTGCTTTAGTAACAAAGGAGTATGGGCTATTTCTGGAATGACCAAATACAATCTCACCCCCTGCCAAGCTCAGCACACTGAGATTAATTTAATCTGCTTCCCGCTTTCCCAGACTGCTTTTCGGCCTGCTTGGGGGAAAGCAGCTTAACAGAGAAACTTGCAAAAACCTGCCCTGCTGGCCCTGAGGCCAGATGAAAGAGACAAAGAAACAGTCTATGGAATTCGGTTCCTTACTCTATTCTCTTAGCCAATCCTGGGGCTGAAAGTGCTGCCAGGGATTCCCACAGGTCTCAGATGCCTTTATTCAGATTGGCACCTGAAATGGAGTGGTAGGGCAGGCCACCCTGAGCTCCTGGAAGTCGCTGGGAAGGGAAGTAAAACCAAGCTCCACTGGGTG